GGATTCATTGAAACCGCAAGACATTTGCGAAAACGGCACGCTTGACACTGGTTCCTTCTGGCCACATCGACAATACAATTGCCACTTTCTTTGCACTCATATTTCAAGCTTCTGCGAATTGATCTTCAATCGAACATTTTCAATGAAGTTGATGCGTTTTAAACAAACCAATTCTAACTGCTAGTAGGGAAAGTTTCGAAAATTTCACACTTAATTCAATGTATGATAGGGAGAAAACTTTAGCGACCAAAAGCAGTCATTCAAGGGATTATTTGAGCATTTCGGAACTGAATAAAGAAGGACGAAACGAACGGTAACCTCTTGAAAAAACCCCGACAGCCATCGCAACTTTGAACACCATAATGACGTCCTGAAATCACCATTCAACAGAGCCGGCACCGTGTTCAATGAATGAAAATTGTGAATTGTCTGAACTGATGCATATTTTCGCATCACAAAATTGAACAATCCCTCCTAACATCTCATCCATACAAACTGATTGCTCAGACGAAATCAATCAAGCAAGGAATTACCACTCGCTCGATCACCGCAAACTCGACATAGTATATCATGCGAACGCAGCAACATCGTTGAGTGATCACTTGGGATTGATCGCTGATCTAACAAATCGAAGCGACGTTTCCGATTGCGTTTCTTCCAGAATGAAGCAATATCAACGGAATTTTTATTGTAGATCAAGTTTTTACGTATCAAATCACCCGAAATTTCAATAACTGGTGTCCCAGAAGTCATAGGGTCTCTTATCGGCATGCACAACGAAGTGTTCCATGATCACTGAATCAAACCATCAGTTTGAGGTGACATATGCGAAACAACAGTAGAGGCAACAGCAAAAGCAGCGACCAAGTCAACCGTTTAATAGAACGATTGTTTTGAAACTGAAACTGACAGCAAGTTGGAGTGAGGAGGTGTGAAATGATTGCTTGCGTTGTTGAGTGTTTGAAGCAAAATCAAATAGAGGTGCTCAAAAAAAGGAAGAAGAGTAGTGCAACAAGCCATGCTTACTGTCAATAAGAATGTTGTCGTTGTCAGTGGTTAACTAACGAAATATCAAATAATCACCCCTCGAAACACAAACGCTTAGATGCACCAGAATACACTAATTGTTCAATCATCATCATCAATTATTAGCCTTTTGACGACACTGGTCGTTTCGTTCGTGGGAGAATCGCTTCTCATCATGATGAGCATATGCAAACAGATTATATATCCGACCATATCCAACTGATATATTATATGCACAAATTCAAAAATTCTGAGACACTCTCATGAAATCAACAGCCACTGACTGTCGTCAACTGATGAGATTAGTGAGCGTCGTCGCTACAGTATGCCAACGTCAACTGCCAACTGTGTCACTTTTTACTTGGTGCAATTTGTTCAAATATTTTATTCGAGTCTTTATCCTCTTTTCCTCTTTTGCACTCTCAGTTATAAGGATGGATAAACACAATCATTGATAATCCGCTCTTCTCAACTGAGCACCACTGTGTTGCGTTCACTGAACGGAGTTGAATTGCTCACAAAGAGACTCTTGAAATGGACATTTCTTAAGGAAATCCTATCGTCGAACATAGCTAGTAGTTTCTTTCATTAAACCATTCTTTTCCTAACTGTCCCTACCGAGCGAAACGAACGCATTTCATTTGCTTTGTTGCTCTTAAATTCCCCGGCTACAATTATGCAGTCTTCCATAATACGCAGAGTTTGCATATTGAAATAGTTTTAAAGTCGATTAAGATTTTTTGCTTCGTAACCATCTTCTGCTGGTGATAACATGTGAGCGGCAGTGAAACAGTGCCACTCTAAGTGTTCAGTTAACTTTCTCAAGGAGTTTACATCTGAAAGTGATTCTCTTCGCAAGCAATTACGTATCATCTTCAACAGATCACCAGATCGGCTTATTCAGCACCGAGAACGGCATGTTGCTCATTCCGTAGCTGTCATTCACATCTTCGAACGGCTTAACGCAGAGCATAAAATGTATGTGAGAGTTTGTCATCAATGAGTTGACTTTATCCTCAATAAGTTTTGGTGGACACACTTCAAGCAGAACATTTCACGATGTTGAATGAGAATCGAAGAGTTTTAGAGGGTATTGGTGAGTGCGCGAACACTTACGATTGGACTNATTCCTTGCCTTTCTCAGGACTCTTCTTCCTACTACTGCTTGCAGATCTTTTCTAGTCTACGTTCTACAAACAAATTCAAGAAAGAGAACAAGTTTGGCAAAGTGATTCACACTGTTACTAATGCGAGAAACAAGCCAACTGTATTCTGTATTCATTGAACAATTCTTCATAAGCGACGCATTAACAAAATAATCATCATACTTATGAATAACACGAACACAAATCAATGAAACAATAACAACAATTTATTTCGAGCGGATAATAAACATTAACTGAGTGATTTAACAATTAACATTCAACTTAAAACTTTTCAAATCCCTTCTTCGAGCCTGACGCCTTCAATACTTTCAAGACATTGTATCGAACTGTTTTGGATAGTGGACGACATTCACCAACCGTAACGATATCACCGACCGCCACATCTCTGAAATGTTTTCGATGTTCTCGATTAACAAGCAAACTTTTATAGAACGACCCCATTCCTGAGATCTATGTCAATTTTTGGGATTGTCGAATATATTTGCACAGCACCATAGTTGATGACGAATCAATTTTCTTGAGGTTACTATATTTAATCTCACTGTAGGTTTCATGATGAATATAAACTAACAAAAGCTCGTTTTTCAAGTTCAGTTGATCAAAACTTCAGTGGCTACATAGCGCATAAACCGCAACAGAACATCTCAGAAACGGCTGAAATGCGGCGAACAGCTCGCTCAAGAACGACATAACATGAAGGGCTCTTTTAACAATGAACAAATGTCCACCAAGATGGACGAGTTAAGACCTCTGGACCTCACCTAAACGAACGACACTTTCTAGGTATCGGAGGAGAACTTCTAGTGAACTACACAGGAAATATCAATCAAACGTCCGCCTAAAGCCGATCAACCAAGTGGGATAAACACAAACGATAAGTAGAAAATGGGATCATATTCAAATGTCAACGAATCTGCAGATTTCAAAAAAAAAAGAGGAATAATCGACGTAAAAGCTTAAAACTGTCGTATTTATCGAAATCCTTACCTGAATGCAGGCGAACAATGAACTGACATATTCCTATGCCGTTTCTCGTAACGTCGGTATTTTTTGATGAAGTGCAGATAGTCTCTCCTAATAACGACTGTTCGCTGCATCTTAGTTTTTACGACAACACCAGTCAGGATTCTGCCTCGAATTGCAACGTTGCCGGTGAAAGGACATTTTTTGTCTATATAAGTACCGGATATTGCCTGAACATTAAAATATTTGCATCAATCATCGATTAGTCGCAGACATCCAAATATTAAACACGTGAATTCAGTAAGAAACAAGAAATTTAATAAGTCGGCTTTCAGAGAATCCGAAAGGTTATAATTGAGAGGCTCAAAAACATCTAAGCAATGAAAACAAAGTTCCTCCAACAAACAGGCGACAGGACGAAATTTAAAAATTGTTGTGGGAGCGTACCTCACGAGGTGTTTTGAAACCGAGACCAACGTTTCGTACATAGCGAATATCTTTTTTTGACTTCTTACCAATACCAAGTGTACGAAGTTTATTGTTGAGGAAGACAGTGGGTTGCTTCTGAAACGCTCTTTCAGTCTGTTCAGCCATAGTTGTAACTCTTTCCCAAATTGCCCTGGAAAAGCCAACACGAAGCAGTTAGAATAAGTCACTCTTTGATCACACTGAAATTCCGCGAGTGAAAACGAACGTCAGCGAACAAAACGGTACCAAAAGCTGGAGCAACAACTCAAATTCGGTTGAAGCCAAGCAAGTCAATGAGTACGTAAGAATGGAACCAAAAACATCACATCAAAACAATGAAAAAAACTAAGTTTACCCTAATTATTAACGAACATTCCAGTCTTTAGGGGTCTAAAAGTATTGGCTCAAGCAACAGTTAATCCCATCCGTGATTACCCGGTTCTACGAGGTGACTGCAGGCCAATACGAAGCTGGAGCTTTTTCTACGGCCATAAAACTTGAAAAATCTAGCACTCGAAAAACGTAAAATGACAAAATTAAGACGATAAAAAGCATTCTTTACGCGTGCGACTATGGCCTCCCAACCGTAGTCACAATAGTTCATCGACACACATATCGTGCTAGAAGCAACCTACATTCAATTCTGCTCTACATAACATGAGGCCACTATCCAAAAATCACCAATCCTCTTTCACATAAAGCATGATGTAACGATGCAATTGTTTCAGTGGTTTTCGAAAAAAAGGATTATCGAGAACCCACCCGTTTCGGCCCTTCGGCTTCATGTTTCTATGTATGCGTGAGGAATGCTCTGCGTAATTGAGCAAATCAGCGAATTTTTAGATTTTTAAATCTGAGTTTCACCTGGCGGTCACTCGAGTCTAGTTTTTTGGCTTTACTATAGCAAACACACTACCATCCAGTAGGAAGAAGAAAGCGAAAACACTAGAAAATGAACCTGGGCCCGAAATCCATGCCTAACTTCACAAAACAACGTCGTCCTTTTTTCATCACTGAATTGAACTCTTGACTACCCATTAGTTCATGGAGTTCATGTACCAAATGATATTGTGGAAGTTGTTAAACACTGATCAAACGAAAATTCCTGAATCGCTAAGTAATCTCGTTCCCCAAAAACCACTCGTAGAACTGATAACACACTAATATCTGACGGCAACTTTGCGTTGCGAATTAGAACTGAACGTCGCATTGGACTGGCGACTTGCCACCTGCTGCGAAAAACACAGAAACTTGCAATGATAGTTTCAATTCATTGACTTTTAAAATGTTTAATTCTTTCGAATCTTTTGCATTGGCTGATGGTCGATGAAGCGTTTGAACGTTATTTAGTTGGTAAACTAGGTGACTCGGTAAAACATCCCAGTGTTCTGGAGATACTTGTTCAATATCAGTCTCAGCCATACAAGTTGTCGAGCGACCATAAGAAAACGGTGTTTGTTATAATGCAAATTTTATTGAATACTTTGTGTTCAATTACAAATCTCTTGAAGGAAACAATAAAAACAAGGAAGTAATCACAATCAGTGGCATTTCACTTCAACGTTACAAACGAAGACAGCGATCATTTTACATTAGTTATTTAATGGTTACACATCGAAGTGAACGTTGAATGAGACGGCCATAAAATCATCAAAAAAATGTGACATGAATAAGCCTAATCAAAACAAGTGTGAAATAAATGGGCTATTGTCAACGGTAAATATGTGAAAAGGAAGCATTTCGGAATGTATTGATAAGAGTGTTTATGCGAAATTAAGTGGTATATGATTGAAGNAAACATCAGATGCGAGTTCCATCGTCGAATAATTCATTTAGAAGAAAGATCAGCACTCTGAATATCACTGTAAACAATCAGTGATACTGACTCCGTTTCGAGTGAAACTTTTTCTCGCAAGAGAGACAAAATTTTGCGCAAAAGCTGGACTCTTTCTGTAGTGATTCTTAGCAAATGGACATATTTCGATATCGATGTAGCCGTCGAAATGGGTCAATCAATATATTTTAGTTTGAAGCTCGGATGTAACGAATAGTAAGAGAGTCGGATTAAGTGGTAAACCTGATGGACGCGGTCGTTATTCTTTGCTGAAACCTCAACGAACGGGCATCCAACATATCTGGCAAATGATTGGCCTTCATACGATGAAACCTGCCACAATTTCTTGTCCACATCAGCCTTCGTACCGACAATCACCATTGGCATCTAGAAATGCGAATATCTCTTTAATTTTTGCTTTCGAATCAAGCGGTTTCGAGCGCAAAGAATCAACTTTGCATGCGAAAACATCATTAAAAATTGTAGACATGAACGTTATGAAACATGCTTCCGTCGAAAAGATGCTGAAATACTGTCAGATTAAATTACTTCGTCGCCGCGTGTCTTCAGCACGCGCTGATGAAGATTGATCGCCTCAAAGAGAGAATTCCTGTCGGTAACGCTGTAGATGAGCATGAACGCGTCAGCCGTTGACATATTCGAATGAAGATCCTTAAAATGAACTTTCCAGAATGATAATCTCATTTCTCGAGCGTTTCTCTAACGTACACTAATCATCAGTACTGTAAAAGTTCAAACAGACATCTCAGCACATTCCTTCAAATGCACTGACCGTAAAAAGTTTTCATTTAGGGCTGAAAAGAAGAATTCTGAATAAGTTTGGCAATTCTCAAAATAATCCCAGATAAAATGCAATAATCAGTCAATAAAAAACCATTTCAAGCAACGACAAAACGTTGATCACTCACATCGGTGTCAATTATCTCGATCATGAAACGTGATCGAATGCCCTCACAACTTCGATCGGAACTCAATGAAGATAGCCTTCTCTCCATGCTGCTACCAAACGAGTTTATTTCGTCGTCATTTTCACCGAAGAAAACTTCGTTCAAAAATTGTCTTTTAGCCTGAAAGTACTTTCCCATCTCAGTGGAACCTCATTTAACGTTTTTTAAACGCAAGCAACATTCAACAAATCTATTTTCGACAAGAGGCTGCTGGGTGAATGAAAGCTTTCACCGATTTCACAGATCTCAGCAAATTTATGCACAAACTGAATAAGGAACGCTCGTGTAGCTCCACCAATAACTGCCGTAAACATAAGGAGGTGTAACTCACCAAGCAGCTTTTACCGCTTCTTCTTGCTCCTAGAATCGCAATATGGCATGTGATTATTTTAGCCTGAAATTACCACTCATTGAATATCAGTAATCACAACGCATTACAAAGGAAAATGACGAAAATATTGATGATCTTATGTCGGAAAGAAAATAAAACATTAAGGAATGCCATTCGCTCACATCATTGATAATTTGTTCGGTTGTTCTATCGACACTGAAATGAGTGTTGAATTGGGTGTAATGATTGATGGTGGATATTGTCTGGTTTCTGTAGCGAGCAATGTTCATTTCGTCAAAGGCCGCATTATCGTAGCATTTAGTTGTACCGCTATAAAGCGGATTTTCGATGATCGTTTCAGAATGCATATCCTCTGATAACAAATCGTCAACACGGTTGTAGCGTTTCGGTGGTATCTGAAAGTATCTGAGTTGTTCTTGAGTGCGAAGGTTGCGTGTACAAAAAATACTTTTTAGTAAACAATTTTTTGATTACAAATAAGCTCATTGTCAGTACAGTAAAGAAAATTTTAGGGGTCCGAGAACATTTCCAGTTGTAATTTTCACTTGAAAGTTCAGTTAATAGTGGGACATATTGAGATATTATCGCAAAATAGATGATGTTTGGTAGTTACAAGACGATCAAAGCATCGCACCAATTTAGGCGGTTCACCGCAGAGTGGGCAACGTGGACTCGAATAGACAGGGATATTTTCGTTGCGATCCGAATAAAGAGGGGATTTAGAGGGTGTGCTAAGCGGAAAGGCTCTCGGCGAGCAATATCCGGCCGTGACACCCATGCGGATACGACGACGTCGTGACGAGCGCCTCTCATTGTTGCACAATTCAGTTAGGCAGTCGTTACAGTCACTGCATAACCAGTGTCCACAGTCCAGTATCACTCCCTTAAAGTTGGTTTTTTGTAATTGATTCGAATGAGTGGAGTCAGACGGACGCATACAATCGAACAATTCAAAACGAATGAATTCTACGATATCGCCCGAACGCATGAAATCAGTTCAATCGGAACAGTAATTGTCGTTGCATGGAATATGGGAGGAAGAAACGACTTAGATGAACTTGTGCCCAATCAAACGATACTTTACGAAATATTTGACTTCTCCTAAGAAATAATCACGAAATTCGCAAAACAGCTCACCTCGTGTATAATATTGAAGCAGTTCGGGCAATGACCGTCCTGCTTAATTCGTAAATTATCACCACTTCCAGTCGAATCTGTATCTGAAGCAAGACGTCGTAATTCGGGGTCGTCTTCAGACGAGGCAGTTGACCATGTGCAATAGTCGCTGTCGCATGCATACAGTCCACCTGACGTAGATGCGTCCATTATTCTGAAAAAGGTCTTAAGATTGATCGATGTAAAGTTGCTTGTTCAATGGACATCACGAGCGATATTCTCCGACTACATCAACCAGCCACATAACAACTCGACTGAATCTTTCATCTGTGACGATCGAATGTGCTTGCGATCGCTAACAACATTGTATACAAAAAGAAACAGAGTAGTGTGATTTGGGTAGTTTAGCGCACACGAATTCGGATTCAAATGATTGGTTCGTAGTTCACATGACAAACATTGCAATAAAGTTAGCTAACATTAAGAAAATGGTCGATCAGCAAGCGACAAAGGAAACGAACGGAGAATTTGAGAAATTTGGTCAAATTATTCATTGCCAACAGTTTTGTTCGCGAAAGACAGTGAACCTTAAGTTTTTGGTACAGACGAACGTTCGCTTTGTACAGTAACTGAACAGAGTATGTACTGCTGCTACTTTTCAGCATGTCCTCGAAACGTGAGAGTGAGGAGGTGAAACTTGGTGACAGACTGAGGTGTTTAATGATAAATCACGAAAGCAGGTAACTGTCTAATCACGATTAATTTCAAATGCGTTTGACAAATTAGTAATCAGCGACCACATGTTATAATATGGTGAGTGTACGTCAATAACCATTTATAACTTGCATGTTAAATATGATAGATTAGTTGCGAAGATTATAAATTAATGCGATTGATGGTCAGTTCGGAAGTTGTGCGAGCGAAAATATTGGTGGAGTTGAAGAAGAATTAGTTGGAAGGTATCAAAATAATTTGAATATGTCAACGCGTATATTCATCAAATCAATCATGCGATTTGACACGATATATGATGATATGCGTGCTACAGATCCACCAAACCATCTACAAACACGAAAATTTCATCTCAACAACATAGTTTCTATTCAATTGCCTCAATTGCTCCCCATACTTGTTTCACTGGCTAGGGGCTGCGTTCAGATTGTTATGAAGTTAGCTAAAAATTAGCGAGATATTGTACTTTTAGAGCAAGGTGGCCTAAAATCCGTTACAGCAAAGCTTTTTAAAAGAGAATAAATTATGAACTATAGCTAATGAAGTAGCTGGACGCGCCCAAAATGAGTGAAATTCATATTTAAAGCGTGATATCAGGTCTAAATTTGATACTAATTAAGGATTGATTACTAGCCAGCAATCGTGTAGTCATTAACAGCAGCAGCAAAAGATGAAGTTAGGAGTTATCTGATTCAAAGTTAAGATCTGCTCGATGGCATGTGAAGGCACTTGAATTTGAATACGCTAAAATATTCAGCAAACAAAAGAAAACAAATCTGAAGATATGCAGCAGTCATAAGAGATTTACACTGCCGGAAACACAAAGCATAAAAGTTGTCAGTTCTGATCAATAGGTTTCAGTACGAAGACGTCTGCTATTGTATTGCAATAATTTTATTGCCCTGGGAAAATAGATTGTCCACAAACAAAACGCAATTTTTTCATCTTGTTTGTACGAATAATTCGTGTTATCTGATAATCGATCAAACCAAGAGCGCAATTTGTTTGAGTCGGCGGAAACACCGAAAGGGAATGGCAGATAAAAAGAGTTTATGAGTTAAAGAAGATAAGGAGTGAGAAACATACTGACCATGAACTTGATTAGAAAGGATGTCTAAGATTAGCAGCTGTAATATTTATTGCGTTTTATGATCACCTCCATATTTGCTCAAGAAATCGTAACTCTTTCAGTTGTCGTAATACAACTCTTTCATTCGTTTATCAACACTTTAGTGTTCCAACAAAAACATCTGTTGTTAAGTTAAACTAAACATTTCTTCCTATTCACTGACAATTGTTTGGTTGATTGAGAATAACTGTGGCAAATCTGATAATGAGAAAATTCGGATAATTAAATTGAACCCATCACTGATTCTGAGTATCGAGTCATTTTATTTGCTTTTGGCACAAGAATTTCCAAAAATTGCCCAAAACACTATGAATGTGCTTGAAAAAATCACGTGGAATGCACTTGAAATATTCAGAGCATTCTNAGTGCGTTAATATCGTTAGATGCGTGCAAAGAAGGATATCGAGGAAAAAGAATTTAATATCTGCAGTACTCACGATAAAACAGAGATACACACACACACACACACACTTAATGAGTTGCAATTGCTGATTAATAGTAACTAAATAAATGATTGAATAAACATTCAAGATGATATAGGTAGGCGTATTAAGTAGAGGCGATTTGCACTGATGAGCATGAAGGAAGATGAATGCGTAAGGCAATTGATGATCGCCTCGATGAGACATGTCAAAATCAAGTATTCAGAGATCAGACCCGATTGAATGCGCTCGTTGAAGAGTACGGCTTAAAGTTGTTCTTGAACGGCTAACTCAGTTGGCATTGCTATTGTATTATGACAATGTCAACGATTACTTGACCAACAACTTTAGAACAAAAACTTCTTCTTTTCTATAGAACAATCCAGAGGCATTTCTAGTCAATTATGAATCATTAACGAAAACTTTTCGAACAGGATACTTTGAATAAGTGGTGGAAAATGATGGACAGATGAAATATCTAATTGCAGATAGCATTTCAAAAATAGCAAAATAAATGATCCGAATCAAATAAGTTTCGAAACCTATGCTGTGTAACATTTAACGAATTACGTCGAAAACACTGCTGATTTCGTTTAAGAAGCACTGAAAACAAAAGTTTTCATATTCTTAACAGTTTTGATAGAGATGAATGAAAACGAACACAACTGAGCTCGAGAGAGGATTCATAATGAAAGCGTTGAATAGGTGATGTGAAGAAGATTGAGTGTTGGTGCGATGTGCTGATTACGAGTAAAGATGGGCGTCGGCATTTTAGCGATTTGTCTTTGAGCTATAATCTGCCTTATACGTTTACCTCTGTCTGGTCAAGACGAAGGTCTCTCCGTGACTCTCAATAACAGAACAACATTATGATTTTTATCGTATCGTCGTTTTCGATCGCTCCATCGGCTCATATATCATCATCAAACACGCAACCGCAACGCCAATAACAAATTGACTACATCAAAAAATTATGCTGAGTCATGATCACTGTCTTTTTTCGGATGATTTATTGCTACATTTCCGGCTACTAAACAACTTTTGAAGTTTGCATTCTTATTCGCGCTTCGTTTGTGTTCTTCAAAAGGATGGTTGCGACATGATTCATTTTGATTCACAATTCTTTAGACTAGACAATTTGAAAAGAATTTGACGAGAGGATTAGATTTTATAAATTTTTCCAGGCAATTCTTATGCAAGATAAAAGGGAACCAGGGAACTAGATATTAAATGATAGCAGATAGATGTATTTGCGTAAGGAGTGACTTCGATTAGTAATTGAATCAATGAGAAACGAGCACACTGGTGATTATTTCCAGCAGAAATTCAACGTTTCTCAAGTTGAATGATGGCGTTATGTCGGAAAATTGAGGAATTGAGATGAGAAAAATTTTTATTCCAATAAAAAAACTTGGCAACAAGATCAAATCAATGGAGCAATGGAACGATCAGTAGAGCTCAACATCGTGTGGATGGTTGAAACGTTCAAGAAACATAATCAAAGTTGGACTGCTAAATTAAACTCACTCTAATGGATCGGGGAAATATGAAATTAAACTGACAGTTGTTTATCATCTGCAATTTGACCAATATGGATATCTGGAATGAAAATGGAGTGGGGAAGGACAGGTGTGGTGCTGATTCGAGACTTTATTTGCTCGAAGATTGAATTTTTGCTCAGAACAACTGAGTAAATATTGAGTAAGAAGCGAAACGTGATATTGTGTCAGGCATAAACACCTTCCGGAGAAGAAAAGCAATCGTATCTGAAGGGAAGATCTGGGCAGAATGAAGTGCCAATTGCAAGGAGCGATAATAGGAACAAATCATCCTTCAAGCTAACAAAATGCGTTCCACCTACTCAAGATTGTTCTTTCGAACAGTCGAATTTGTGGAACAGCATTTTCACAAAGGGAAAAGGAGGGGGATGAGGTAAACTTTCCAGTTTTTTTCACTGAATTTCCCTTCACTTATTATTAATTTCAGTGTAATCTTCATAGGATTCAGATTCAGTGAGTCCATCCGAGAATACAGTGGAACAGAGTGAAAATTTTAAAGTGTCGCATTCAAATGAAGGGCAAGATCTACCGAAAATCACGCCGATCACGTTTCCCGGTAATATTCATACTCGTTGCGATTTGTAAACTGTTGCATAAAATGATTCGTGAAGATTACTCGCAATAATAAGATTAGCAAGAGAGCAGCAGAATTATGAGCATTATCAACTACCTGAACAGAAATTAAAGTCAGTTGGAAAGGAACGGTATGGGGTCAACGAGGATAGTCGAGTGCTCTGAATCGAGAAGATTGCCTAGATTTGATATTAAAAAGATGATGATATATACGCTAACATCTGCTCTTTTAGGTGCAGGTGTATGAGATGTTCATTGGATATGATGATTAAATATAATATGCGAGGTTGTTGGTATTTTTAATTCGTTGGGTCATTTTAAGCGAAATTTTATTCGAAAATATTAGGCGGATAAGTCGTTTTATTACATAATTGAATTCATTCACACACCCATCCAAATCAAATCGCCCATTCATCACCGAGCAAACAACAAGTGCACAGTGCAAAAGAATGCATATGATCGCTTATGAGAAGTCATAAAACTTAATTGCTGTCATTATTTGGCACAATCTGAAAATTTATTGCTAACAATTTATTCCATTCATCATCAAATAATTGTGCATTTTGCATACCATTTATTATTGTCATTGTTATGACGCTACACCATTAATAGTTTCATAATTTAACGATTTGAATTTGATTATTTTTATTGTAATTGCACTAGTTGATATGAATTGCATAACAACAAACAATTTCGACAGCTATTTTGAATGATCATTTCGATGCAAGAGAAATTTTACTCAAGGTAGTTTACGAATGATGGGAGAGTTTCATTATCGATGCACATCATTAAATA